TGGGATTGAAATTTCCAATTCTCTAATCACATGGTTGGTTCTGTTGGCAACCAGCCCCTATGCTGAGGCTCTCCGGGAGTCCACCAAGTATTGCCTCTTTACAACAAAAGATGCTCTTGTCATGCAGGAAATTCCAAGGGATTTAGAAGCTCTGTGCCAAATAATCCTATCATTCAGGAAACTGCAAAGATCTTAGGAGCTCTCTGTCAGAACTGGGGTCAAAGATCCCATATTCAAACAACAGATTCTCCTAGTATTCCCTACCTACAAAGGTTTTAGGAGCTTTATTGTACACAGAGGGAGGTGGTGGTATTAGAACTGTGTTTTCTGGGGGAAGCTCTGGCTTTTTATTGGAGTATCTGCCTCGGAAGAAGAAGACCTCAGTGTTGTCCACTAACTTCTTGTCCTCAAATCTGCCAATATAAAGGGGAATTTCTGCCTGCAGAAGGAGCTGGGGGCCTTGGGAGACCAAACAAGAGCTGAGCTCTGTCCTGGGCAGTACCAAGGTCCTCAGGTCATCCCTGAATCTAATGCCCATGAGGCCTGGAGTCAAGGAAGTAACAGAAGATAAAGCAAAAACATTAGGAAATGAGAAAAGGAAGAAGAGGAAAGGAGAGAAAAGAATGAAGTGAAATGAGAGGCTAAGAGGAAAGAACAAAGAGGAAGGCAGTGAAGGGACCAGGAAGGAAGTGGAGTCATGCACTGGGATCCTTTCAGCCAAGATCTTTCTCAAAGGCCCAAGCACTAACCCTCTGTGCTTTGCCTCTGATAAGCTGCACTTACCAGATTACACACAACGAGGCCTGCTGTCCTGCCTTGTGTCACAGTTACCCTTTTGAATTTTCCCTTTATTTATCAAAAGCCCAGATACAAGCAAAAAATAACTGCTTCTCAGTTACCATACTGGTCCACATATGGCTCAAGCCAAAATCCTCTTTCGTGTTTTTCTTTCTTTCCTCATTTCCACTAGTATTTTCTGAGTAGCTCCTCAGACTTGAGGTGGAACTGGGATCTTCTCACTGATCAAAAGCCCTTTAGGAACTTCCAGACTGAGCAAGGGGAAGGTGGCCAGAAGGTATTAGGGATATTATTAAAACAGAGGCAAGAGTCCAATTGTCTTATATTTTTTAAAATGTTACTAAATACTTTAAAATTTAGTATTTAGATTACTAAATACTTAAAAAATTACTAAATATTTTAGTGGAATGTTATAACATTAGTAAAATCAATAGATAAAATGTTTGGAAAATATTTACAACACAGATACATGATAAGGGAGTAATATCTATAATTTGTTAAATAAACGATATAAAGAAATTTATAGCATATAAAAGTTAAACAATCAATAAACATGTGACGATATTTGACCTCACTAGGAAAAAAAGGAAATGCGAGTTAAAATAACAATATCTCTCTATGTTCATCTGGGATAGAACAATCACAGAACAAGTTTAGCTAAACTTGAGTTTCTTTGTCAGGAAACCTGTTTTTAAGGCTCTATGGAATTCTGGTCTATTTGCTTCCAGCCAGTCCATGAAGCAGCAGTCTCAGCCAGAGAGCTTGACAAATATCCTTCAGCTGAGATGGGTCTGGGGCAATTTGGCTCTTGGTGTTAGATGTTGGCTCTTCGTTCATCCCTCTCCATCATAATACTCATGTTCCACTTCACACTCTGCCTCAGCAAAGTTTGAAGCTCAAGCCAAGGAAGGGAAGGTACCTCACATTTCCTGCTTGACAGAAAGCAGTGTTGCAGGGTATCTTCAGTGTGCCAGGCAGAGAATGCAGAATTGGAGGCAGTTTTAAAAGACCTGTATGGAGTTGTATTTTTGTGGTTGTAGAGGAGGCAATCAGGATCATCCTGCATGCCAATACTGTCCTCTTTCCTATGTCAAGTCTGGCCTGTCTGTAACTTGAGGTCAGCTCTTTCATTGTTACAAGGTGGTGGGTTATTTCACACCCAGTTGATTTGTACTGCAGGCATCATACTGAAAGAGTCTCTGTTAGTTCTTCCTGCCTGGGGTCTCTCTGTTCCTCCTCAGGCCAAATACAGAGTAAACTTCTTTTTTTTTTTTTTTTTTTTGTAGGACTGAGAAAAAGCAGGTCTCCAAAGCCAGACACTGTCATGAAGCTGGTATCCAAACTGATTTTTCAATAAGTCATACCTCCTGGTATTCTTGCCCGGTGTGGTCCTCCAGCACTGAGTTATAAGCAGTCTTCCAGCTTACACTTGGGCCTCTTGAAATGCTGGAATACTCTTTCTTAAAACTCTGCTGTTGTGCTTTGGTTATGTCATGGGAAGACACTCCAGTCATCAGCCTAACAGAGCTCCCAGAAAACAACCAGCATCAGCTTCCAGCCCTGTGAATGAGCTGTCTGGATGTACAACCCAGCTGAGTTCTCACAACCCAGCAAAATCACAGACCCCAAGCAAGAACCACTACAGTGAGCCCAAAGAACCACAGAATCATGAAAAATCAAAATAAACACATGTTTTAAGCCACTGAGTTTTGGAGTAGCTTGTTACATATCATTAGACAACTGAAACAAGCCTTAGTAAAGGCTTTGAGAAGTAGCCAAATTCAACACCGTAATGTTTTCTGGGACCCCTAATGCTACGACATTAAAAGATGAGTGGTATGAATGTCAAAACCAGCCTGAGTGAATTCAACAAGTTAGTGCATAATATCATAAAAAGGGGTGCTAATCTCACTATATGAAATTGAAGATTTTCTCTCATTCTCCTTGTCTACACATCAGTGCAGACAACTACGTGTCACTGTCTGTCACTTTCAACTTTCATTTCCCGGTATCAAATAGTACATTTGTTGTTTGTTTGTTTGTTTTTAACTGAAAGAGAGAGAAAGCCCACCTCAAAATGGCTTAAACAATAGAGGAAATCTATTGATTCACATAACTTAAAAGGGCAGACTTGGCTATTTCTGGCTCCAGGAAGAATTCAGTACTGGATTCATAAGGTATTACCTCTGCTTCCTCTGGACCCATTTCTTCCTCAAGTCCTCACAGTAGCCTCTCAGAAGCTTACTAATTCATTTTATGTCTTCAGCAGTTACAAGCTTCCCATAGTGGAAAGGTTATATCTAGATTTGCATCCTAGCCCCACTGCTTAGTAGCCATGTGGCCTTGATCAAGTACATAAAACTCCTCTAGATTTAATTCTCTCTTCTTTAAAATGGGGATGATGATGCCATCTATTCCATGGGGTTGTTGTAAGTTTAAGTGAGGAAATACACATAAAACACTTGGAACCGTATCCTTCATAAAGTAAGAGCCCTACAAGTGTTAGTGTTGTGTTTGTAGTAATAATAGTAACAGCAGCAACAGCAGCAGTCATGTGGTAGCAATAGTAATATTCTCCACTATTTAAGCACAGCAGAGGAAAGGAAAATCTATGTTCCAACTTTCCCAAAAGTTCCTTAACTCCTTTTAAGTTGCCTGAATGCAATGAAGGGCCCCCAAGGTGGATATGCTAATTGGCTCAAAGTGCCTGGAATCTGCTCCTAAAACCGGGATGGGTCAGTCTTACGAGGTTGGGAAATGTGGAGCTCTAACAAGAAGGAGAAAAGGGGGAATAAATTTCGAGCAGGCGATTAACATCTATTTCTCAGTAGAGAAATTCTTAGTGCTCAGACCTCACTGCCATACTGTTGTGCCCATGTTGGGGACAGACACCTCCTCATCTTCCTCACAAAGGCCACTCAAGAAAAGACAATATTTGTTGGCCATACTTGGAACAGGATACTTTCTCATACTATTCTGAGCATCTCTCTGTGATCACACTGTGCTCTTAGCAAAGACGGAGCATCTGTGTGCAGCAAGGGAGCGCCTTGCTTCTGCCTCCTTTCACTGACTCCTTCTTCTGACATCAGAACCTTTACATTACCCTGTGTTAGCTGTTGGAGGGGCTCTGCATCCTGAGGTCCCTGCTCGGATCCATACACACCACTTGGCTCCAGGACCTTCCTCCTGGAGAATGAATGGAACATGCCTAAGTGCTAAATCCTCCTGGCACCAAACCCAGAGTCTTTCTGACTCCAGGTTGTGATTCTGATTGTTATTTTCCAGAGTAAAGTCGGTTCACACAATCTGGAGCCCCTAAATCCTTTCCCTACTGTTTGAGGAGAAAATCCCACACTACAAATGATACATGTTGTTTCTTGGTCTCAATAAAATATTTGTCTCTCTTGTACATAATTAATTGTTAATTGAAAGTATGATGAATTATAGCTGCCTATAATTAATTTAGGAAGAGACTACAGTGAAATACGACTCTGAGTTTCTCTCCAGACTTATTTTGTTTTAGAAAGCAAAGGCAGAATTCTTCCATGGCCTGCTGTGTTGTAAACCTTACTGATTGGTAGGATGGGGCAAGGTGAGGGTAAAGGCATGGATGGTGGCATAATGTAAGCCTGGACTCACTGTGGACAGCATCTGGTGTTCATGCTATCCATCTCTTGCTGCACAAGGGCAAGTGGCTTAAGGAGTGGAGAACTTACCTTGGACCCTAGATGGGAGTCTTCAACTGGGATATTTTTAAGCCACAGAAAGAGGTGTCCTATGAAGGCAGGATAAACCTGATCTTTTATGGATATCAGGTTGGAATGAGAAGGTAGTACATGAATTAGCTAAAGCAGCTCTACATTGGTCCAGACAGACTGCAGAGATTTGAACAAATGTCCCTAAAGACAAATTCCCCAGTGTGTGGGATTGATCTGTAAGGTCTCATGAGTTTATTAGATAACATGCTGCAAAGGGATGATCAATTCAGTATTCTTAGGATGTCCTGGCCCAATAGCTGCCTGGCTCTGCTTGGACAGCCTCCAGTGTCAAAGGACTGACTCCCTCCTCTAGAAGCCTGGTTTATCCTCAGAACTTCCAAACAAGGAACAGCATCAGGAAGCAGCCAGAGAACTACTTTTCATCATATTTTATCAGTCACAGTGTAATTAAATTTTCCTTTGATCTTTCAAGCCATGAATCCCTTTTTATATCCCCATGTTGCCTGTATATTGATTATGTCTTTAATTTATGAAGCTTCTTGTGGTCAGTTCTATTCATGAGTCTCCTTCTCTCCAGGCTCCCCCTCCATCCTCACACCATCCCTCTCTCTATCCTGAGGTCCCTTCTAGTCCTCCCACTCATTTTCCATGAATACAAGCTCCTCCCCACACCTAGCTCTCACTCCTCTCTCCACCACCCAGTGTCCTTTTCCCCATTTTCACTGTCTATTTCCGATCTTCTCTTCACCTTCTACCCACACTGCTGTGATAGCCTTTCCCCACCTTACATGGGCATCTGAGCATTGAGGGGAAAAACCTGAATGATACCTGCTTTGCCAAACCCCATCTCTTCACGGGACTCTTTTGACATTTGGGGGGCAGATAAAGACACGTCATTCTTCAGTATCATTACAGTTATCAGAACAGCCCTAGATGATGGAGAATGCACTACATAATCCTTACTGGTGAAGAATGACCCTGACAATCCTTCATTTTGTCTTGTTTTTGAGAGGATCTCACTCTACCTTTACTACCTTCCTAAGCATAGAAACATTTAATCACTAATAATCGCATTTCACATAAACTGCAAAAATTATGCTATTTCCACCGTGCCAAAGTCAGGCATGCTTTCTCTCCAGCAAAGCAGGTGAAAGAGAGGAGCGAAAACATTTGAAACAGGTGGTTTAAAACAAGGAGGAATAATAAACAACCTGAAGACTTCTGGTATAAAATGATGACTTGCAGCAGCTCCCACTTCAGCCTCTTTCAATCTCTCACTAAAATATAGATGAGAGCATGAGGAAAACATGAAAATACCGCAATCTAAATAAAGTCACATAGACCAATGCTAGACTCTGGGAATAATAGATTCTAATTTTGATGTAGAGAAAACTGACTTGAGAAAATCCTACCAAGGCTTCTATCAAAGGAAAACCCCACTTTAACTTTATGAAAAACAGACCAACTTCAAAACTATATGGGGAAAAAAAATGAGTGCCTTCTTCACCATTTGTTTCTTGATTCAGAGACATGAGTCCAACAAGAAAACTGGGAAACAATCCAACCCTTTTTACAGAAAATGGTGCTTCATAAAATAGGCTGAACATGGATCTAATTTTTCTTCATCCAGACAGGTATTTTTAACATATGGGTAAAAAATGCAAATTTAAAAAAATATTGATGCAAAATTGTGGGGTGAAGGAAATTGATGTTGCTGATGCATTCTGGGAAGCATAGTGCCTAAAAATGAAGTGTTGTGAATAAAGGCTAGTATTCAAATGTTATAATTATCAAAGTAATGTCCAACTACAATTTCTGGAATTGTGGTTTTTATTACTCATTGTACAAGGTTCTGGGACTTGGAGAAAGGAATTCACTTAGTAGAGAAAACAAACTCCTCAATCTCGTTCTAGCCCTATATCTAAATAGGGATTCAGGAATCCACTCACCCTGGAAGTGCAATTACCTTGGCTAGCCAGCATATCATTCTGTTCTACAAAGCTTGCTACCAATAAATGTCACTTAAGAGATTCTCAGAAGCTGATGAATTACATGGAAATGTTGTAATCTCAGGATTTACTACTACCTGTGTTCTCTCAGACTCTGCTCCTGGGAATATAACATTCATTACTTGTTATGTCTGTATCTCCCTACATGCAATGCACGTTTAGAAGACTGTTTCCTTACTCCATAGTGGAATTTGCCTCTGACTATTACAGCTGTGAGATGTGAGTTGTTGGACACACTGAGGGGAATGACAAAGTTGCCATCTCAAAGATTATCTCCTTCTGTGTAAACTACAGAAGAGTAAAAGTATTAGAACAGCAATGTACCCACTCAGTCTGGGCGTGGTTTCTAAAAGGAATACGGTTGGATGCAGGATGCCACATTGTCTTTTCTGGTCTCAGGCCCACTAGAACTTGTGCTAGTGAGGAAGATAGATTAAAATCACCTGAAGTAACAAAGTAGGAAAGTTATAATTGAAGGGCTGTTATATAAAAGAGGCTTGCTTTTGAGATTCTCATTAAGGTTTGTAAACCTGTTCCAGGAGCACGGCCTGCTCCAGCGGATACCTGCAACGTGTGATCAGTGATAATCACATGCCTAAGTCATGTATACAAACACCAAAGTCTCTTCAAATCTGGGAGCAGGGCTCGGCTCTCACAAGCAGGACAAGAAGAAATAATACCAGTAGAGGGATCACTTGGCCAGCAGCAGGGTTGAAAGAGCCTCAAACCCTGGAGGGGCAGCATGGCTCTTGAGCAGAAAGGCTTCTGGCATCGAAGAAGCCAAACAGGATCCCTGAGATGGAAAAAGCCAGGAGCTTAGAGGACTATCTTAACCATGGTATTTACAATCAGTCTACCCCTTTACACTTATTCCCATAATGGCACACCCGTAGGAGCCTCAACTGCAGGGAGAAGGCGTTTCTTTCTTCTGGAAATGAATACAAGGTGCTCCAGGACCTAGGCTCCTTCGAAGTAGAAATCAATTTTAATCTTTTGGCCTGAGTCCTGAGACCCAGTCTCTATCTCACTAGACAGGCAAGACAGTAGGAATGCCAGAAATACAGACGGGTTCAGCCTAAGGTTTTTGCATCTTGGAACCTCAGTCTCACTTGACTCTTCTGCTCTATCCCTGCACTTGAAAACCCTCTGTTTGGGTCCCTGGACACAGGGATTTTCAGAACTGTCACTAGTATAATGGAGGTTAATTTGATCCAATGACTCTCAATCCTGACTACATATTAGAATTACCTGGGGAGCTATTTAAAAAATCCTCCAGACCAATTAAATCAGAGTCTCTGAGGTTGAGATCCAGGCATCATATTTTCATAAAGCCCCCTAAGTTGTCTCACTGTGCAGCTGGCATGGAGGAACCCTTACCTAGTGTTACCCTCTCCCAGTCTGTCTCATGTGGTCTCCCAGCCTGCACCATCCCAGTTTTTCTTAGACTCACTTTCACCTAACAAAATGCCCACAAGAGTGATTTCTAGAGTTTTAATGCCAAGAGCTATTTAACCTATAGGACCTATAGGTCCATATTATTCTGTCGCTTATAATTCCATGGTATTGTCCCACATTATTGCTTCATGTTATTACTGTAGTTTAACACAGTATACTTCATCTTTCTGTGCCTTATGAATTCAGCCAAAAAGCACAGCATGAAGAAAAATAAAATTTAAAAAAAAACAGCTGTTCTTTCTGTTTTACCTCAATTTTCTTGAGAGAACAACTAAACTCAGAGCCACTAGAAAAACATGGAAGGAAAAAAACTCAGGCAACCTGAGTGAATTGGAGATATGACAAAATTAATTAAGGTTGTGTAGGTTGTAATTTACCAACCTGTCAAAAATTCCTTAAAGGATAATTTAAACTGTAGTTAGCAGGACCTGTAACTAGGTACTAGAAAGTCTGCTCTTTTTTTCTTCTGCCTTTTAAATATCTTGATCTGTTTCATGCTACAGCCTCTTTATTTGCTGCAGTTTTTTTTTTCCCAGGAATATTCAAAGCACATATAGTAAAATCAAAATATCTCAGAGACTTCAGTTTGCTTTCTTTACTTGTCCAAGTCTGTTTAGAAGTGTGGTAAGCAGATTTACGACCCCAAAATATATCTACATCCTAAATCCAGGAATCTGAGTATATTACCTTACATGCAAAAGTGACTTTGCATAACTGATTAATACCTTGAGATGGGTATATTATTCTGGATTATCTGGGTGGGTCAGATATAATATTACAATTCCTTAAAAGTGAAAGACAGGAAAGAAGCAGGGTGAGTCTGAGCAATGTGAGAAGAATGTGCTGACTTTGAAGAAAGAGGAAGCAGATCCTGAGCCAAAGACCACAGTAGCCTGTAGAACCTGGGGACTGCTGGTGGCTTACAGCCAGCAAGAACACAGGGACCCAGGGCTGCAACAGCTAAGAATGGATTTCTGCCCAGAACCAAAAGAGCGAGGAAATGACACTTTCTTGGAGCATCCCAAAGCAAATGCAGCCCCATGGACACCTTTATTTAGCTCAGGAATACCAGTGTCAGACTTCTGACCTACAGAACTGTAAGGCACTAAGTTTGTGTTATATCAGCAGCTAAACCTGTTGCATTCTATTACAGCAGCAAGGGAAAACTAATACAACAGGGTAAGCTAAGCTGGTTTGCAAATTTGTAAATGCACTGACTGAATGCCAACAACTGATACACCAAAGTTAATAAAATTCTGGGACTTTTATCAAAACCAAGGCAAAGAGGAGAGCGTGAGCTAAAAATGCTAATTGGGTGGTAAAACATCCTACACTTTACCTTCAGTCTTATTTGTCTTTACTGAAACACAGCAAGGGAAGATGGGCAGGTCTGTGCAAGGACAGTGGCCCAGTCACTTAGGAGAAACAGTGCTTACATACCTGTGGGACCTACATAGGGTCTCACTCAGAGTTTGGAGCAAATATCAGAAAAGGTCATCCTTAAAATTTAAAAGAGAAGGGAATTAATTATCACATTTATTCCACAAAGGTGCAGATACTCTACAAGGTGTTTTATGAATGTCATCTTATTTCATCTTCACAGCAACACCAGAAAAGCAGGACTACTGGGTCCATTCTACTGCAGAGAAACTGAGGCTCGAAAAAATCCAGTAACTTTCCAGAGACTATAGAGAATGTAAGATCTGCCTGATTTCAAAGTGGTCAAGGGTGAAATTAATGGATTTAGCAAACAAAACAAACGAACAGATTATCCTTAAAGGGCATCCAGAAATCTTATCCTGAATTTGTAAGCACAAAACACCTTTCTAGGATATAATTTTACCTGCTTTAGCAAACTGATGCCCTGCCAGGTTTACCATTAATGTAAGTGAATAAACTATTTAGTGGTACCTAATGCATGCCAAGCAGAGATTTGTGTTTAACCTATTATTCCCCATTCTCACAATAATTATATTAAGTAGGCAATCTCTCCATTTTCCAAATGAGGCAACTAAAATTCATAAAGAATAAGGCCTTTCCCAAAGTTAATATGCTAATAAATGGCAATGCCAACATTTCAATTCTTGACTGTCTGATACAAACATATGTTACCTTTAGTATTCCAGCAAGGTAGGACCCTATGAGTCTGGCTAATGCGCACTTCATCCATACAACCTCTGAACTCTGGAAGAACTGACAGATTCAACTGACAAATTCAACAGCTGTTACTCACATCTGCTGTGATGACCACACACCAAAGATCATTCAACCATTCTCTAAAGTCACATTCGAAAGAATCAAGCAATGAAGATTCCTGCCACCTCACCTTCCAAAAGATGGGAGAAAATGTGGTGTCCTTGAGATTTCCATGGAGAGCTGTGGAGAGAAAAGCAAAGGGACCAATCCATTAGGTAATTCAATTAGTCATTTCATTCACCAGATTTAATGGATAGAAGGGCAAAGTCAGTTGATGCAAACATTAACACAGTAATCCGAGCTTCCTCAATACACACTGCAGGTGTTGTGTACCATCTTTGAATACAAGGGAAATATTATATGACTACATAAAACATGTAGCATTCTGTTTCCAGAACCAGAGTTCCCTCTGCCAACTACTAAAATCCTGCTAATTGATACACTGCGGTTTTTGGCCAGCAAGGGTCTTATTTCCATAATGTCAGTTGGTGGTTTAGTACATTTTGTTTTTTTAAGGTTTGCTTGTGCTGTTCACTCTGGGTGTAGAGCCAATTCATCCACCAGAACATTTAACATAAATTTTTGGCCAACTAGCAGTGGAATTTCAGCCTCTGTGCTGATTTCAGACATAGAGGTCAATTATTTTGTGCTAATTATTTTGTGGTTTTTGCTTATTACTGTTAAAAAAAAAATTGAGAAATACAGCTGGATTTAACCTCTGAGCAAACTCCTAGGCAATGACCCTTTAATAAAGGAATAAGGAGGGAGGAAGCTGCTACAGAAGCCAGAGAATAAGGCCCCTTAGAAAGTCAAGAAACAGGCTTAGTGGTTAGTTATTCACAAGTATAACATATTGCCTATGATTCCAGGAATTAAAAATTTCTCAAGGCAGATTTATTTGCCTATTTAAATCTGAGCTACAGTAATAGTTCAATCCCAGAAGCCCATTATTTATAGTTAAGTATAATATGGACCTGATAGTCCCGTACATGTGAGTATTTTTCTTCAGGCTGCCCAAATGAGGCACCCGGATCGTTTTTTTCTCAAGGACACAGGAGAATCAAATGAACACAGTTATTACCCAATCAGAGTCAATGTTTTTAAAATGTTATTCTAAATATAATAAGATTTATGGAACCAACGAAAGTTCCAGTTTTCCCAAAAATGAATGTTTATCAGCAAGGTAATCGACATGATGGTATAAGCTCTGTATGTGCAAGCATATCTATATTGTCAACATGATTTGGAGGGAAAAGTCATATCCAATGAAATTGATATTTTTGGTTGAACTGTGTGCGATTTGGCAGTATGTTAGCTTTTTGGTATGATAACCTTGTTTTGTCCTAACAGTTTAGAAAATAAATCTTCATTATATCTCCTGAAGATCAGACACCCATCTGTCAGTTCATTACAGTGGTTGTAGAGAAAACATTTGGAAGGGATGATATAACAAGAAGAAATTCTTGGCTAGTGGAAACTCCCCAACTGCAGAGAAACAGAATGGATTGCATCTTGGAAAACACAGAAGTTGGAAAGAACTCAGAACCCTGCTAGAGAGGAAACCAACCTGGAAAAGCCTCTTCATACTCAGAATAGCACTGCTAAGGCAGCAGATGCTGGAGAAGAGGAGACAGCTGCCAAGTATGGGGGAACAATAGCCAAGCTTGCAGACATGGCGTTTCGGGGTGTGTTGACAACAGTCATCAGTGAGTATATGGCAACTGGGAAAGAATGGATAAGCTGGGTTCTGGGAAACATCAAGAATTGGAGAGAATATTGAAGACTTGTCCTTTCCCAGAACCCAGGTTGCTGAACACAGGTAGGGACCTAGACTCAGAGTGTCCTGCACCCAGAATAAGAAGAAACCACTAGGAGACTGATTTTGCTTCTGTCTCCCTAGTACCCAGTTTCTCTTCTTCTTACAATAGTACCCTCACCCCTTCCCCAGTATTTTCTTTTGTGAAGTTACCCTTCCCCCTTGCCTTTGAACATATACTGGATTGAGCTGATCTCATCTTAGACCCAAAGATGGGCATATGACCCTGATCCATACAATGAGGACATCAAAGTCTCTATGACATAATACATGCAGAGGGTGTGATAACCCATAACTGGGCCTGGCCATGAAAATACTTTATGTGGATATAAATAGAAACTCCCTGGGCACTACTATTTAGTGCAGAAAAGGGGAGGCTGTCTCCTCAAGGCTAGCATAGCAAAAATCTTGAGGTCCAGAGGGTATGCTTTAGTCACTCGTTGCTAGTCAACATAATAATTCCCTTGGATCATACCAGAAATATTTTTCTGGATGTTAAAGAGGCCAAGTGAGTAAAAGGCATGTGATCCTTTGACCCAGGAAACATTGCCTCCATACAGGTTCCTAAGACTGAGTAAAACAGGAAAGACAATGGGGAACCTCATTCACACCTGTGCTTCCTTGTCTCATCTATATGTATGATTTTTGCATGACTTACTTGATACTTTGGACATAAAGCAAGGTAAAGTACACTTGAATTTAGTCCACGGTGATATTACTACCAATCTTTGAACCCAAGCTTTATTTAGTGCTGAACCTAGCACAGTTTAGCACATGAAATATCAGAACCAATAATAGATGCCTCAGGGAGGTGGGGTGGAATAGTTGAAATAGAGAGGAAGTATCCCTATTTCTGTTATTTTTGTAACTGTGAAGTTTTAAATCTGCTGCAAAAAATCTTGCTTCCATATTAAGAGATCATGCCTAAAAGTAGAAAAAAAGAAAAGAAAAGCAGAGTGAGAGATGGAGAAAGACCAGGTCCTGGTGAAATCATTTAATCCTTTACCCAAACCTAGCTATATTGGGACTTTTCAGTTACAGAGGCTGAAAATTTATTTTTTGCTTAAGTTAACTTGGGTTTGGATTTTCTTTCAACCAAAAAGAGCCCTAACTTATTGTGATTTGTGGACGGTATTCTGGAGGGTTTTCTTGAGGATTTCAAGGATTAAGACTCCCAATGATGCTAGTTACTTATCCAGTGTTTCTCAGCTCTGAGACCATCCCTCCTGTGCTTGGTGATTGTAAAGCTCAGAGTCCTCCAAACTACACTTCCCAGAATCCCTTGCAACTGTCTTTCTTTTAGTTTTGACCAATGGGAGGCACTGGCAGGAGATTAGAAGATTGGTAGTGGGAAGAAGGGACTCCTCCGCCCACAGATCTGGTGACTAGAGCAGACGGTCCTAGGCCCAACCTTTAGAATCTCTTGGCACTCTCAGTTCCAACCACTGTCGGTAGTGCCTCAGCAGCTGCCCAGCTTCCCCTTAGTGGCTAGAGCACTGACACAGGTGCCCCACCATCAGCAGCAGCATGACAGCCCCATCATAACTCAAGCAATGGAGCTTCGGAGCCCCTCCCCCAAGCTCTAGTGCAGCTCCAGTGTCCTCACTACTCTTTTGTATCCCTATGGTCACGGGATAAATGAATGCTTTTGCATTAAACCATCAAATACAGGGGCTGGACAGAAATATGTTACGCAGCACTCTTGTAATAATCATAATTATTACAATCTAACTAGTTTAAACCCTTTTATTAAATGTGGTCTTCTGTTTTTCCTTAATGGGCATTGATTAATACACCAACTATCCCTGCTAAAAGGAACACAGTGAGAACTGGACAGATTGATGATCTTCAGTGAGGCCGTGAATGTTAATAGGTACATGATCCTAGAACGAACCAGCCACTTACTGTATGTCACTAGTCCCCCACCTGCTAATTTCCTGGGGATAGTGCTCCTAAATGGCACATGGTTGTCTCCAAGGAGGCATACTTACTCGTGATTGCAGCATTATTTACTCCATCCTGTCAACTTAAAGTAATCAAAAAGGTCAGAATCTGTTCTTATTCAAGTGCGACCTTTGAGGATGGCCACCTAGAAAACAGATTCCAGAGAAAGGAAGTCAGTGTCCTGAAGTGTAAAAGTTTGTAATTATTTATATAGACAAAGTTTAGAGAACCATGACAGAATTTTGACATCTTTCTCTGCAAGGTTTAATAGTTACAATGATTTAATATAGTCGAGGGGTCTTTTTTGGAAGAAAGGTATATCTAACTTTCCACACTGAAGACGTAACAGTCATGAGGTATTTTGTGCCATATTGTCTGACTTAGGTTCAGGACAATAAAGGTAGCAGGTAATCTATAACAAAGATCAGTGATTGCAAGGGGAAGAGGTCTGGTCTCTGGTCTCTCCTAGTCATTTACAGAAAGAGAATAACAGGGAAAAAATATTTAGCTATAATCTAAGAAGAATTACAGACATACTATGTGACTGAGTCTCCAGGGCTTAACTTCCCCCTAATAATAAATTTAGATTTATGCCCCCCAGGGCATAATAAATTTAGAGGGTCCTGAAGTTTTATTTTCTTTTACAACTCCCACCCCTAGTAACTAGAAATACTCTGCTTTGCCAAGTTCTATAAACATAGATCAAGAAGTGTTCAATGTGTAGCTACCACTATTGTGCAAATTCTAGTTTTACCCACCATTCTAATCATCTACCACTGAACTACAAGCCACCCTAAAGTTTAGTGGCAGAAAACAACAACCATTTTTTTATGACCTCATATTCCATGGGTCAAAAATGTGGATCAGGTAGAGCAGGGATGGATTATATCCACTCCACAATGACTGCAGCCCCAGATGTGAAAACTTGAATGGCGGAGTTGATTCAAGTGGTCTCATCTGAAAGTCTCATTCACTCACAGGTCTAGAAGTTTGGTTCAGAGCACCTACTTGGGACCTATCCATTACAGCAGCCTAAGAGTAGTTAGCTTTATTACACAGTAACTTGGGATTCCAAGGGCGAGTAGTCCGGAAAATGTTACAGAAGCTCATGGCCTTTATAACCTACCCTCAGAAGTTGCACAGCATCTCTTCTGCCAAGATCTTTTGGTTGACGGACTCACAAACCCATCCAGATTCAAGAGGATGGGTCATTTACAGACCTCTATAGGAAGATTGTCAAAGAACATGCAGCCCTGTTTCAAAACCATCACACTCACCACTCTCTTGAGGAAATAATGTGCAAATGAAGTTATCTCTTCTTTCTCAAAAGTCTTATTTTTATTGTTTCATAAATACTTTGAAGACTCTGTTCCACCTGTTGCTCCAGGAGTCACTAGATAACCTAAAGAAGATGAAAGCAATTTGGTCCTCATATTCTTGAGTGGTGTAATTAATTACGTGGCATTCTCTGGAAACAGCCGTAGGCAATGCTACACCTCAAGCCTAGATGTAAGTCACCATTTCCATAAATGTTTATGATAATTGAGCTACTTCTCCATAGTCCATCATCTTTTAAAATCTCTTCCTAGCTTACTGCTCTCATCCACAAAATGATACATATCCCACAATATGGAGCAGGTTCATTATCTAATGAGATGGATGAAGTGAGCCAAAAAAATTAAGCCTTGCCAATGATTGAGAGACATTGGTCCTTAAGGGGTCTTGAGAAATGATCACAACCTACTGGGGGGTCTCATGTCACTTAGAGAAATCACCCCTCTGATCTAGAAAAACTATACACAGATGGATTCCCGAGACATCTGGGTATTCCTGCCAAGAATATTGCTTGGATCCAGATATGTCCCTCTCACATCCAGCAGCCACACATTAGAGATTTAAATGAACAGTAAACTTACATAAACCCTGCACATTAAATAAAGGAATGGGAAGGAATCCCAGCAGTATCTAGCTCTGCTTATGTCACAAATGGAAACTGTAAGTGTGTTCTAAAACAAAATAGGCTGTGGATTATCACCAAGTGTCACAAGCCATAGAGAACAGACTGTGGGCTGATCAGGGCCTGTCCACAGAGACACAGTGGTTGAGTATGAAGGCCAAAGTAGTTTGGAATATCTACTGACTTCAGACTTTCTCCTATAAAAACTTTCTCGTATTGCTACTGCTGATCCCTATTCTAATTTATTTAAGCCTTTCTGACATGCTCATTTTGAAATTTGGATTGATTACCTTTTGCCTTTGCCTCTAAACTCCATTTTCAGACCACAATCATTACCATTGCCCGGATATTTTTATCAAAAATCAAATTTCCACCAGGTTTTCTAGCATACAGAGCATAAATTTGACCCAAACTACCCCAAGTTTCAAGAGCACAATCAATAATCTTCTTTAAGTCCATTGTCCCCGACTCCCTCAATTTGTTGCAACAAATGCCCTCAATGGTGCTCTTTTCTTCCCGCCTCTCCTTCCTCTCTGCTCTTAGACACCCTCTGGAGGAGGCTGGACAGCACCAGCATTGGGTGGGGAACAATTGGAGTTGAACAGATCTCACCTGAAGATGCTCAGAAAATATTCATAGGTGGATGTGCAGAGCCAGACACAGTGGAAAAGGCAAAACAGAAAAATAAAATATAACAGCTCTGTTCTAGGATAATGTTCTGTTTATTTTGTTTTCCCTCCAAGGAGTGCAAGTACCTTGCCCAAGGAACGCACTGCCATTTCTGATAAATTGCCAGAAATACTCCCTGCAAGACTCAGAAAGCAAAATCTCTATTTGTTTCTACGGAAACCTCAGCTTGACATGAGGCACCTTAGACTACAGCAATCTACAGACGCTAACAAGACCTGGCCCATAGAACAGAAGACGGTGGGGGGGAAAGAAAGAAAGACAAGTGAGAACTACAAAGAAAAATTAGAAATGAACTCTTGGTCCCAAGGTCCCGGAAAGGCATAGTGCTTGGCAAATGGTGAGGATGGAATTCCTGTTTATGAGATGAATAATTTGTTTTCCCTGCTGCAGCACTTATATATCCATTGTGTCTCTCCAAGCACTGGCCTTCCCCTGCTAGGATCCTGATACCCACCTTTTTCCTCCACAGAGACCCCACCTCCTGCCCACTTATGCTACACCTGACCCTAACAGAACACTTAACACAAAGCTGCAGGCTTGATGATTGCTCTTTGATACAGCCTTCAGCAGAGGCAGTAGAGCAAGCCTTGCCCTGCCTGCTCATAGGTGCTGCTGCTGTCTTTGCAAATGCCCTTCCTGTCTCTTTTATCTCTGCAGCTGCTGCCTACATCTTCCCAGGGCAGCCACCTCTCTCCAGACTCTTTGCTGTCCTCCTTGAGGTACCTTGTCAGTAAAGGTCTTCATCATGATCCTCTGCCCAGGGTCACTCTACTGTAGTAGTCTAGACCCCCCAGGAATGACAGCATTACTTCTCTTCATCCTACATAGGTGCAGCAACCCACCTCAAGACCAGCCTTGCACTGACCTTGAATGTACATTTACTTCACCATCCCCAAGCAAGGGAACTAATTCCATAAACAGGAATTGGGCCATTTTTCCTCCTTACCTCTCTGCATCTATATTTTACTCTTGCCACCATCTAAACTAATTCTGCACATCCTGCATCAAGCCCTTATCTTTATACTCTATCAAGCCCCTGTCAATACAGTAAAGGGATCAGAGTTCACCTACAATGATAAGAATACATTTCTCTAAGAAACACGAAGCTGACAGAGCATCAAGGGCAAAGGCTCAGCTTGAAGACTCTTAAGATCTGAAGGAAGTTTTAATGATTTGCTGGGTGGTGATGACTTGTGAAAAGAAATTTTGATGCAAAAATTGAATGTCAGCCTCCTTCTTCTTATTGTGAAGTTCTCAGTATAGCAAAATGAACTCTCTCAGGGCTTAAAAGAGTGGATCCCAAATCTTAATGTGCGTCAGAGTTATCTGGAGGGCTTTTTAAAACAGACTGTTTGGCTCCACCCCGAGCATCTGATTCAGCAGGTTTTGGGTGGGGCTGAGCATTTGCATGTTCTAACATGTTCTCTTGTGATCTGGTGCTGTTCAGCAGTGGACGGTTTGAGAATGACCATATATTGGCTTGGCATTCGAAGAAAAGGTCCTTGCTCTTTGGAGAAAGGTGCATCTGCAAGTTAGGAGGAGGAAATGGTGTAGAGTCCTCCAGGAAAGAGAACAAGGTACCCCCAAATCCCTGTGGGTGAGAAAAAAAGAAATCCCTGTAGGAGAAGGGTGTGCACTATGACAATGGAATTTGATGCTCAGGGAAATATCAGTTATAATATAAACAAGCGTGGCAGTTTTTCAAGAACAGAAAGTGGGCCTGTCCATGAGTTGTAGAGCTAAGGGGTTTCATGGTTTTGAGGTCTATAAAGCATAAGATACAAGGTCATAGTGGAAGCTGAGGTTCAATCAAGTAAAAGTTAACTGATAAAACTGGAGGCACCCACTTCTATTTCCCATTGCTAAAGTAGTAGAAACTTAAATTACACTCAAGTTGTTTGAGTACTTGAAAGATAAAATGAGATTAGTCCATTTTCGTTAGGTGCATTTTCACCAAGCAGCTGCAAGGTTCTGTGTCAGATGCTAATGGTACATAGAAGAAAGCAACTGGCACCTGCCCTCAAGCCACACACTGTCTGTTTACTTAGATACGGACAGTCCTCTACCCCCAGGACTCATAATTGGGAGGAGTGCCAAGGTTAAGGGCATGGACTGTGGTGTCAGAAAGATCAAATGTAAACCCTGACTCTACAGCTCACTAGCTGTGTGATTCTGAATCATTTGATTGATGTCACCAAATCACAGTTTCTTCACCTTTAAAATAGGGATAATTTCTTTCTAACAGGCTGTTAAAGAGTCGATGGGAAAACGCTTGTACAGCACTGCACACCAGGACTGGCACAAAGCAAAGAAATGAGTGGGGTTTTTTTTTTCTTGGCTCCTGTTCTCTTTCGGCTGCCTGCCCAAGACTGACATCTGAAACAGGAAAGCTGGGAGCCGCAGTCCCTATCCCCCATCTAACTGCACCCTGAAAACTTAATCAAGCAGAATAGTAACAAGTTGAATCCAGGTCAGCCTGGATGTTGCCTCTGTCTGAGTCTGTGACTAAACTACTGTTTTCAGACATGTTCCCCATTTTCCCCTGTTCAGCTGGGTCCTTGTCTTACGCCTCTCTCCTCCCTAGGTCTGAGATCTCATCTCAGTTTTCTACTTCATCACCCACACCATATGGAATCATTGACATCCCTTGATCTTTTTCTTTTTCTTTTTTCTTTTTAGATGAATCCTTTTTCTGTAGACCTAATAATAAGTTCTGACTCATTCATTCACATATGACTTCCTGTCTGCCTCTTAATTTAATTTAATTGGGTGTGTCCCCAGATACTAAGAACCACTTGTTCTATCTCAATCTCAGAAAAAAAAACAAAACTAGAGAGTGCTCTTGTCTCTGTGTCAGGTGAGGGAGGGAGCTTCAGGTGATGGCGCATGTGGATGAGCTCAAGGTGGACCAGAGACCTCTATTCTGGAATTCTGTGGCCAGCTTTGAGTCCTGACCCCAATCCCCAGTCCAGAGAGCCTAACACCTTTACCATGAAACTGCCTTACCAGGCATGATTGGTTTATCTTTCCAAGCTTATTCCGAACTCCAAATTAGAGAATATTTTGCATTGTGTATAGTTAAGTTCTGATGGTAGTCTTTGACAGCTTTGGTGTCTGGATCCCTCTAATATATGTATCATCCCTAGAGTGTTGTCTTGATAAGAAAGTTTTGATCTGGTTGAGATTAGCTTCCGGGGGAAGTAGCAGGGTCTAACCTATCTGGACATGAGGGTAAATCTCTCCCACACAGAGTCTGGAGATTTGGGCCCCTCAAAGGAGAATGGAAGTGGCTCTGGAAACTTACACCACTGAAAGTGCTTATGATCCTTTTAGAGAATTCTATAAAGAGGCCTCCCAGCTGCATGGATATATAAATGTCAAGGAGCAAGGACAGAAGCTAGAAAATCCATCCTTAGGCCATAGTAAAGGCTCAGACAAAAGATGATGGTGTTTACATCTAAGGTTAGAAGTAGCAAAGTTAAGGAAAATCTGTGGGAAATGTTGTCCCATGGATGATATAGTCAGTAGAATGTATTGGTGAACTGGATATATTATCAAAGAGATGAGTTAATGAGGAAGCCAAAGATTCTGACCTGAGGATCTTAAATAATGTAGTTGATTTTTATTGATGTGAGGAATTTTGGAGAGAAGGAGCAATGGAAGAAATTAGAAATTCGGTTACGGGAAAAATAATTTTGAGTTACGTTTTAAGTATCTAAGCAGAGATAAGCAGCAGGAACATGGGTACAACATTCAAGTCTGAAGTTCATAAGCAGGATCAGAATTAGAGAGAAAAAAATGTCTGGTTTGTCAGACTATAGAGAGTGTCCACAGATGAGATAACAAATGCATGATTTCTGACAGAGTAACTTAGGGGTATGAGCATGGGACCCTCCAATCTTAGAGTCTTAAAGTGGAAACCTGCCAGGTGTGGTGGCTCACACCTGTAATTCCAGCACTTTGGGAGGCCGAGGTAGGCAGATCACGAGGTCAAGAGATCGAGACCATCCTGGCCAACACGGTGAAACCCCGTTCTACTAAAAATACAAAAAAATTAGCCAGGCGTGGTGGCACGCACCTGTCATCCCAGCTACTTGGGAGGCTGAGGCAGAAGAATCGCTTGAACCCAGGAGGCAGAGGTTGCAGTGAGCCAAGATTGTGCCACTGCACTCCAGCCTGGTGACAGAGCAAGACTCCGTCTCAAAAAATAAAAAAAAGTGGAACCCTAATGTTCTAAAGTCAATGAAGAGGCTGAGGATCAAGGACAGAGTTGGCAATGGGGCTCCAGAAATCACAGGGCAGACACTCTTCTGGGTAACCAGAAAAGGAAATCCTATTGCTGAAGTGGAGGGCTGGATAATCAACTATGAGTGTTTGTTCAGAGGCACCACAGGCCACAAAATTGCACCCAGGTATTTATGGTGACAATGACCATTCAAAATCATGAAAGTACAAAACAGGGGCTCTTGAGCTCCTTGGTCTCAGGTCCCCACTGCACTCTTAAAAACCCAAGATTTTAATGACATCTGTCAATATTTAACATATGGAGCATTAAAACTAAAAAAGAAAGGAAAAAGAAAACACACAACTACAGAAGCATCGATTTCATTCACCCATCAGAGCAATTGATACATTCTAGAAAACCCCACTGTACAGCTGTAAAAGAACAAAAGTGAAATTGAAAATGGCAGTGTCACTATAAAAATGAGAACATGTTTTTGACCCTGTGGACCCCATAAGATGGTTTTACAGAGCCTAGACCACATGTTGAAAGCCACTCATCTCAACAGTGGTGACAATGAAAATTGGGTGAGGGAAATTTAAGAAATAGACCAGAAGTAATGTGATCAATGGGCTGTGGGGAGTACCTTCTGGGTACTCTATCTCCCATGGAGGATAGACATAGAAGGATGGCTGGGGTGTCCCACATGATGCCCAAGTTTGGGTCTGGAGATTGTCTGCAGGGTGCTATCTTTTAATAATAAGATAAGGCAGCGGTTATCACAGTGCAGTTTACAATCTATTTGAGGGTAGAGAATTTAATTTAATGTGTGGCAGCCACCATTTAAAAAAATAGATTATAACACAAACTACCATGAACTGTTTTATATATGTGTGTACATCTATACATAAGTATGTCAGTATTGTGTAAAGTTGGAAAACACAGCTTATGTGTGAATCGACTTTGAGAATCCCTGAGCTAGGAAATACCAGAAGAAACAGCCTCCTAATGATGTCCTTACTTCTAGTCTTTTCCTCCATTTCAGAATGACTTTCCAAAATATCACTCTAAACATGAAAATCCTTTAAAGTCTTCTGATGGCCTCTTCCTCTTTACTACAAGGCAAACCCAAACACCTTGAAAATTCTTGAAATCTGCAGGAAGTTTGAACAATTTGACTATGATGGGTGGTAATGACTGGTGAAAAGAGATTTTGATGGAAAAATTGAATGTCAGCTTCCCTCTTCTTATTGTGAAGTTCTCAATATAGCAAAATAAGCTCTCTCGGGGCTTAAAATAGTGGATCGCAAATCTTAATGTGCATCAGAGTTATCCGGAGGGCTTGTCAAAACAGACTCTGACCCCAGCCTTTCTCTCAGGTGTTAACTCGTAACATGTCCCCCACCAATTCCCTTCCCTCAAATCAAAAACATACATTTCAAGTCTCCAAATATGCTTTGACGTCTTTGGTGTCTGTCCTGGACCGTGCCCTGTATGTAATTTCCTTTGCCTGAAATTTTCAACATTTAGACCAACTCACATTCCACAATCCAGCTCTTCCAGGAGTAGGAGAACATGACCAGATACTCACCAAAATTTCCCCTTCCTGAGCACATAATAAATAAGACTTTCCTGCCCTTTTGTACTGAGGTGGGCATATGATAAGCTGGCCAGTGGAATGCAGGTAGAAAGTGATGTATATCACTTTCAGACCAAGTTCCAAAATATTGTGCTGTCCTCCACGTTTTCTCTCTTTCTTCTTTAAACCACCAGGTGGAGAAAATCTCTACATCCTGGTGGATCTCAGAATGAGTAGAATAACACCCCCAATTCCCAAACTTTGCTTGAGCCCCAAATAAACTTTTATTTTTTTTAAATATTAAGATTGGAGGCTGTGCATTTTACCTACCCTAACAAATATGCCAGGTTTGATGCCTCACCATTTAGCAAATCCTCTCATTGTTTTCCAGAAAAGAGATGAGGAGATAGGAAGCTCTCTTATTACTGAACTCTTATTACAGTCTCCACTGTTCCCAGCCTCCTCACGTATGTCCAGAGTCAACAACAGGCCTAGAAAGCCGGAAAGGGAAGCAGAAGAAGCCTTTGTTCCTTCAGGATTCAGGATGACAATGGAGAACAAATGTTGATCCCTATATTGCACACGGCACTCATCCTGTTCACAGATCCACAGAAAACAAATACAGCTCATGTCATTCCTCACAGGCCGTGATAAGAACTTGGAATTTGATGCTGAACAAAATAGGAAGCCATTCAGGACTTTTAGCACCAAAATAGCATTAAATTACAGAGTTTTAAAGATGTGTTCTGGCCACCGTGTTAAGAATAGATTGTGTGTGATGGGAGGAAAGAGAGGGTAAAGCTAGGATATTGGTCTGGCCTCCATTGGGTGACCCGCAATGAGGTATTAATGGTAATGTGATCAGAGATTTGGCCATGAAGGTGAGAAGAAGCCTGTATATTCTATGTATAATTGGGAGGTAGAGCCAAGAGCACTTCTTGTTGCAATTCCCCTACATCTTACATTTTACCTCTTCACTTCATTTAGCCCTCTGCCCAATTATAATCCCCTTAGAGAGTTCCCCAAACACTTCATCTGAAATAGCTCTCTCTCTCCCTGTCACTTTACATTTAATCTTGTTTTATTTGTCCTTGTAGTCTCACGCACTTGAAATTACATTGAGTATGTACTTATCAACCTATTAATTGTCCATTTCTTCCAATATAATGCTCTCTCCCTGATCACATGGACTAGTCCTTGTCCTCACTGATTTCCCAGAGCCTAGAATAGTGCCTTACTCAAACTTGGCATTCAAATATTTGTTAAATGAGTAAATGAACCAATTAAATTAGTCCTGCTGGAGAAGAAAATCTTGTTCTTAACACATCAAGCCATACACGCAGGCCCTCCACTGCCCATGTGTGCTGTGATGGAGGCCATCTCAGTGATAAAGAAGTGGCCTGACCTGTAGACTTGCCCTAATTTGATCTTTGTGCCCAGAGTCTGGTCTCACCAAAAGGCTCTGGCTCTGCATACTTTTCAAATATTTTCTTTTCCTCATCCATCTTGTTCAATAGCATACAACTGATTTCCAATTTTAGTCTATGACCTAGGAACTCCAAGATTGGAACCTACATTGTAATGATTTTAGGTTGATATTTTCATTTTCAGCCAAGCATTTTAGGAAGTATCAATGCTATGGAAGATTAATAAAAGCTGGCCAAAGGTGACCCCAGCCTCTGCATACTGTGTCTCTCATGGAGGAGACTTCCTGATTTGTGAAGGATACATTCTGATACTTTACAGGACGAAGGTCACTGGCCTCATTGGCAGCAGCTTCATCTGGAGTTGCAAGGGATACATGGAGCTGCTTAGCAACAGCTGAGTCTCCTTTATACTTTAGCCTTGTTCGTTGGGTATCACCTCATAAGCCTTAATGGAAATCATCCTCTTCTGAGAGTTGGTGACTCTGCATAAATTAATGACTTAACAACCACGAATGTCATCAAAAGGGAGCAGCTGGGGAAGAAATAACTGCTTTTGTCAAGATGTTTTACTGCAGAAGACAATAAGACAGTTTGACCCATTAAGACCCTTGAAATTAATAATCTAACTCATATGCACCTTGTCCTGAACAGCTGCCTGCCCTCCTCCACTTCTTCCTTTCTTCCCTGCTTTTGCCTGCCTAACCTCACTGAAGACTGCTTACATCAGAAGCAGGAGACAGGCTGGGTGTGGTGGCTCATGCCTGTGATCCCAGCACTTTGGGAGTCCAAGATGGGTGGATCACCTGAGGTCAGTGAAAGCCTGTAATCCCAGCTACTCAGGAGGCTGACTCATGAGAGTCACTTGAACTCAAGAGGCAAAGGTTGCAGTGAGCCAAGGGAGACTCCTTCTCAAAAAAAAAAAAAAAAGTATGAAAGATATTGAATACTTACTATATTCCAGGAACTGACAATATTTTTATTGTTTCTTTTAGTCTTACAAAATCGGTACAGTAAGGCACATTTATTGCCTCAATTCTCACATGAGGAAAGTAACTTACCCAGGCACACAGCTAAGTAAGGGAGCAGCCCTGGATCATTACAATCTAAGACCAGCATGTTGATACCTATTACAGAGAATCTTTAATTATTCTTATAAACTAGTCCCCCAATCAAAGACTTCAATATGGTATAAGCTCACCTCTCCAGAGACAAGGCCAGGCCAAATTTGCAACAACCCAGTCATCATTCCCCACCTCTTCCTCAGGAGGGGAACTTCAGATATTTGACTCTAAACTTCCAAGGGTTCCCAAGGCCCTTAAAGCCTTTTCAGTAAAAATCAAATAATGCCTCTTTTAACACGTATTTAGGTGTGCAGTACAGTATTATTAACTCAGCATTATGTTGTACAGCAGATCTCTAGACTTGTTTATCTTGCATAACTGAAATTGTGTACCTATTGAACAAGTTCCCATTTCTCCCTCTCATTTTTACCACAATAAAACAACCAACCAGAAACAAAACAAAGGGGCAAAGGAAAGTTTTGAAATTGATGGATATGTTTATTACCTTGATTGTGGTTATGGCTTTATAGATGGATCTATCCACAGGGTTAAACTCATCAAATTGCATACATTAAATATGGACAGGTTTTTGTATGTCAGTTGTATCTGAATAAAGCTGTTTTTAGAAAAAAGAAATCACATACATTAATACAAAGGAAAAAAGACAACATAAAGAACCTCATTTTGTGTGACGGACAGAGGGGATCTCCACGTTGCTCCCCATAGCAGAGTACAGGGCCAGGCAAGGTGAGCAAGAGCGACTGAAAGGGCTCAAGCTTCCAGTATAGCTGAGTGTGCAGCTCCCACTGCTGTTGCCTGCTGTTGCCTGCTGCAGCTGTCCACACCTCGCGTGTCATCTGTACCCCACTGAAGCTTCCCAAACAGCCTTATTCCAGGTGCACATGATTTTGTGCACCAGAGCAGTCAAAGCAAAAGGTGGTGTTTAAAAGAAATTATATGCATACGTTGTTTCATTGTGCTTTGCATTATTGCACTTCACATATATTGTATATGTTACAAATTGAAGGTTTGTGTCAATCCTGTGTCGAGCAGGTCTGTAAGCATCAGTTTTCCCACAGCACGTGCTCACCTTGTGTTTTGGTAATTCTCACAATATTTCAAACTTTTTATTAGTATTATATCTACTAGGTGATCTGTGATCAACAATCTTAATGTTATTGTTTGGGGGCACCACAAAACACACCCATATAAGACAGCACTTAAATGATAAGTGTTTGTGTTCTGACTGTTCCACCTACTGGCTATTCCCATCTCACTCTCTCCCCTCAAGCCTCCTTATTCCCTGAGACACAGCAATGTTGAAATTAGACCAATTAATAACCCCATAATCGCCTCTAAGTGTTCAAATGAAAGGAAGAGTCACAAGTCACTCACTGTCAATCAAAAGCTAGGAATGATTAAGCTTACTGAGGAAGACATGTCAAAATTCATGATAAGCTGTTCATAATTCTTCTGATAGATCTTTACAAAGTAAATTGAAAACTTTCTGGAATGGATTCACCATTCTAGATGCCATTCAGAACATTTGTGATTCATGGGAAGAGGTCAAAATACCAACATTAACAAGAGTTCTGAAGAAGCTGATTCCAACCCTCCACATGATTTTGAGGGCTTCAAGACTTCAGTGGAGGAAGTAACTGCAGATGTGATGGAAATAGCAAGAGAACTAGAATTAAAGTGACTGAATTGCTGCAATCTCATGATCAAACTTGAACAGATGAGGAGTTGCTTCTTAGGGATGAGCAAAGAAAGTGGTTTCTTGAGATAGCGTCTAATCCTGATAAGTGCCATGAATATTGTTGAAATGACAACAAAAGATTTAGAATATTCTGTAACCTTAGTTGATAAATCAGTGACAGGCTTTAAGAGGATTGGCTTCAATTTTTAAAGAAGTTTTACCATGGGTAAAATGCTATTAAACATCATTGCATGTTACAAATAAATCCTTCATGAAAGGGTCAATCAATGGAGTAAACCTCATTGTTTCAAGAAATTTTCACAGCCATTCTAACCTTCAGTGATCATCACACTGATCAGTCAGCAGCCACCACCCTGGAGGCAAAACCCTCTACCAGCAAAAAAATTACAACTCACTGAAGGTTCAGATAACCATTAGCAATTTTTCACACACAAAAAACGTATTTTTTAATTAAGCTATGTTCATTTTTTTGGACACAATGCTGTTGTACACTTAATAGACTACAGTAGAGTAGAAATATAACTTATACATGCACTATGAAACTAAAAATTTATGTGCCTAACTTTATTGTGATACTTGCTTTATTGCTCTGGATTGGAACCGAATCCACAATATCTCTGTGGTATGCCTGCAGTTTAGTGATGGTATTGGTTTTTTGTTTTTGTTTTTGTTTTTGTTTTTGTTTTTGTTTTATTTTATTTTTTATTTTTTTAATTTTTTATTGGATTATAGGTTTTGGGGTACATGAGCAGAGCATGCAAGACAGTTGCGTAGGTACACACATGGCAGTGTGCTTTGCTTTTCTTCTCCCCTTCACCCATATTTGGCATTTCTCCCCAGGCTATCCCTCCCCACCTCCCCCTCCCACTGGCCCTCCCCTTTTCCCCCCAATAGACCCCAGTGTTTAGTACTCCCCTTTCTGTGTCCATGTGTTCTCATTTTTCATCACCCACCTATGAGTGAGAATATGCGGTGTTTCATTTTCTGTTCTTGTGTCAGTTTGCTGAGGATGATGTTTTCCAGATTCA